GAAACTTTTGTTTATATATCATTCTTTGCAATAACTATTTGTAATAACTGTTACTTTAAATAGTATTGTTGTGTGTATATTAAAACATATTTGTGTTAAAAAAAGAAACTCTGTGTATCAATCTTGTTGGCATATATCATAAACCAACTGTATATTGGCTTTTACTTAACTACTAAATCCAAAGTACAATTTAACTACTAAATTTAAATTTATCAATTAACTCGGTTTCAGACCATTTGAAATTCCAATACGTTACATCATCTGTTTTATTTTTGGATTATTCAGTCAAAAGAAAAATGCAAGTTCTAAACTATTTAATGATAACGAAAGTGTTTTATTTCTTCGACAACTAGTCTTACAAATTTCACTTACAATCTAACATTCACCAAGCAATAGGCTCAACTTCACAAATAATATAAAACAGTCACTCACTTGCTAATTTTCTCGTATCTCTAGAATTTCAACGAAACGCAAACTAAATGTTCACAAAACTGAACTAAATGACTAACTGGCTAACAGTTACAGACAATCTGACTAATAAACTCATTAACTCAATAATCAATCATCATCTACTTTAATCTATTCGCGTTTTATACTGCTAAAATCGTTTCCTAAACTTTCAAAAAGGTTCTAATCATTAAACCACACCCATTACGTGACGACAAATATTCCACTAGCCGAACCAAAATACTAACAACTAAATAATAATAAAAAACATAGCTTATAACATTATCTAGTATCTTCTAAATGAAGATAAGAGCTTATTACTTAAACTGCTACTGTAAAACGACTCTTCTAAAACAAACAACAGTAAAAAGCTCCTATCTTATGACTAGTCCTACAACATTAAGTTCCTAAAAGAGTCTAATCTAGCGGTGTCTCTTTATTCCTAATGAGCACATACTTAAGTACAAGTACAATAATAATTTTATGGGGGATGGGGTGGCAAGTATAATTCTAGTATAATGATCATATATTTGCCCAACCCAAAAGATTTCGCCATCACTTAAAATTCTACCCTACAAACAATACTTTATCTATCTTGACCAGTCAGATGTTTAAAATTCATTTCAGTAAAACTTTATATAAATTCCCATTGTTAACTGAACCATTAGACTAAAAACAAAGACGTTATAAATCCCTAATTAATATATCTCTGCTCCACGGGAGTGTAATACTGAGCACAGATCTTATCACATCTTGTATAGTATAAACAGTTTAAACTGATTTTCCTTTGTACACAAAGTAGTACTGAGCTTCTCTGAAACGTTTCCTATTTTGCACCTTTCCACAGTTGAGCAGATAATGTTACCTATTTGATTGATTCTTTCTTTAATCCAAAATTCTATTTACTTCGTAACTTAATTTTTCTTTGTAACATGAGTTTATTCCTTTTTCGCCGCTCTAATGTTTTTTTGTTGTTAAGTTGTCTTTTTATTTTGTC